GGCATCTCGGCAGAACCCACTGTGCTAAACTCACTGGTGGGTCCCCCTTGCACTGGATTCGTGGGAGCCACCCAAGTGTGAGCTGTTGGGCTGTCCAAATGTGGACAGATTCCACCCCATGACACTGGAAAGCTTTACGGAGGTTGCTCCCAGCCCCCTATCCTGTCACTGGGGACTGGTGGGTTTGCAGTGAGGTTCACATTACTCTCCCAAGTGATTATGTATATATCCAGCAAGGCACAGGAGGAAAGTGCTGGTCTGCATTTGTAAAGGGCCTTAGATTTGCATCAGTGTCCACTGTACCACAAAGGAAAACAAATCCCCACAGGCCTGGGTGGATTTTCAGCTGGAAGCCTGGGAATTCATAGAGGGGAACAGGAAGCACAGAGCCCATACGTGGCAGTGGGCAGAAAAGTTTGCAAGGACAAAGACAACACTGGCCTCTAACACAGCCCAGAGGCTGTTGCTTGTCTCCTGAATGGTGTTTAACTGTATTTCCACAGCAGGTACCAAATGCCCAGCTAATACAGTCTGTGTCACACATCATACACTCCCATCGTACATATTAGTTGGTACATAAATCATTCGACCACTCCAAAGTAATCAGTGAGGTCACTCAGTGATCTTAGAGGTCTTTTCCAACCTGTATAACCCTGAGATTAGCTCAGTTGGTTAGAGTATGGTGGTAATAATGTTTCTATGATTCCAAGTTGCAGAGGTAATGAGGCCAAGCACAGCAGTGCTGGCAAGGCTGAGGCAAGGATGCAGCCCCACTGCCTCTGGCTGGCCCAGGGCATGCTCTGAGCACCCATGCTGCTGTGCTCAGCCTGTGGTCATTGTCTCCTGCCCCTGGCTTGTCCCAGGTGTGCCCATGGATACAGCAAAACTTGGTACTAATGACACCACAGAGAAAAACCTCCTCTGGCATTGCAGCCTGAGGTATAAGGAAATGCCAACAATATGAGTGCTTGTGCAACTGTAACTCAGTCCCTTTCTGCATGTGGGTTGTGAATGACTGCTGGTTTTCCCACAAAAGGATGTTTTCATCTATTCTTCACAGACAGTCTGGATAATGCCCTCATTCCTGGGTTGCTATTAGAGTGGCAAGTGCTGAGCGCCCTTCATTACACTTGGAGCTGTGCTCTGAATGTGCAAAGCATTGTAAAAATTGCTAATGTTCCAAAGCTCCTGATCTAGGTCCCTCAAATCCCAGAATCCGGGTGTGCCTTTGTAGGTAATTACCCTGGTCCTGCTGCATGTCTCTTCACCAGGGGTTGATGAGGCAACATCAGTCTCCTACCTACGGCACAGACCTGGGGAGATGAGTGTAGTAATACCTGCAAAGCCTTGCTGTGTAGGGCATTTAAAGACCTATGGCTTTGCAGGAAGCCTGGGGCTGGAGCAGTGTGTCCTGAACAGCTGGAAAGGAAATCCTAAACCTCTTGCCATTTCCTGAAGGAGGCAGGGGTCCTGCAGAACCCCAAACATGATTGCAGGTTGTTGGACCTCCAGGGGCTGGCAAGGCTGTGAGTCCTGTGCAGGACTTTGCAACTTCAACACTCTTTCATTGTTGGGTATTTGGTGTTTTCTTTTCCAAGTGTATTTAAGTAATTAGCATGAAAATTGGACATGAAAAAATACAGCCTTTTCTCCTAAAATGTGACAGTGACTGCTTTCCAGCAACCAGTGGGCAGGATGCTACCACCAGGGTAGACATGTCCCGCACCACAGTGCTCAGCCACCAAGGTCAACCTCAATCCCACTGTCTCTTTGTGCTTCCCCAAGGTGGGCAGCCAGGCAGCCATATCCTCCTGCCTGACAGCGCCCTGGCACATAGCAGCAAGGGGAGGTCAGGGCTGCATTGCAAACAAACACAACTTCAAATAAACGAGATCTCAGTGTTAACACCTGTGATTTATATGCATTTTCAAAGCCCCATGTGAACGTGTTTTTAGTCCTTAAAATGTCTCTTTGAAGTATGTGCTGTTCACTATCTCCCTTCTGTGGAGTAGGGAAGTTGACAGGCTTCGAATGAGATTTAAAATATCTTATTGCAGCATGTGCTGCAAAATCCTTTGTCACGTCTGACAGCACAGCCATTCAAATCAGAAAGATGTGATTATTTGTTTATTTACATGTGATGAGTCTCTTTGCCCCAACACCTGTACGCCAAGAGCAAATTATAAAAACAACCTGGTAAAGGCTGGTGATTTTGGCAATGCTAGAAAACAACCCGCGGAAGTGCTGTTTGCAGAGCAAGCCAGGCTCAGTGGCTCTGGCCATCGTGCTGATGTCAGAGGCTGAGGGATGGCAACATGGACGTGAGGCAGATGCAATGTTCATGACACCCTTATGCCTCTCTGCAAGTCAAAATCTGAAGCACCTGCTGCTCGTTTGAGGAGATGAGTAGATGGCCAACAGTGCTGTACAATGCCTCAGCTTTTCTGAAATACCGTATACCGAAACCACACACATGGTTTTTCTTCCTACTTACTCCAAATACCATTCATGCCCCAAAGCATGGGCATATAAGGGGGGAGTAACTGTCTTCCTGGGAGAGGAGAGGGGAGGTCAAGAAGCTGTCTGCTGTGGCAAGGATGGCTTGCAGATGGAAAACTGCACCAGAGGGATGGTAGTTTCTCCTGTCCTGTAGGGATGCATTTCCATTTCCATCTTCTTCTGGGACACAGCAGCTCTGGTTCTTTCCACTGACCTGATCCAGGCCATAGAGAGGGCTGGGAAATGTTGCTAGATCATTTCAGAGGGATGCCACTAGCCAGTAACTATCATCTACTGGAAAACACACTTCAATTCGAAGAACATATGGAGAGTATTAGGAAGAGAGAGTACGTGCCATACCACAGTCATACTAGTTGGAACAAAAATATAAATATCCGCACTTTACAGGTGACTTCTGGTTTTATGCAGGTTCTTGACATTCACAGAAATTAAATAGTCAGGTGAAAAGGGAATGACAGCATGAGGATTGAGTGGATAAACCAATTTTCTGCCATTTGCATGGACTGGAGGAGGTGTGGAGGGGAAGGTTTTTAAAGTACCTGGCTCCCAGGAGTTATCTTTACAAAAGATCTTGCCTCTGCAATGCCTGCTGATGAGCATGGTCTTGAAGGCTGAAAACTCTACAGCCCTGTGCTCAAGTGAAGAAAGGGAGAGCACCTTGCTAGGTGTTCACTATTCCCCTACTCCTCCAGGACACAGCGACACTAAAGGACATGGGGAAAAAGCATGCAGGGGAGGGGGGAGCAAGAAACTGCAGAGGGTGGTGGAGCAGAAGGGTTTTTGAAATGTGTCAGACAAAGGCAACTTGCCCATGGCTGTGGTGCCTCTCTGAAACACTGAACCACTGTTCTACTCTACAGCAGGTTAGAAATCTGAAAAATCTTACCCATGGACTGACCACCTTAAAGACTTTTTTTTTTTTCCCTTATGAAGAGCCCTCATTGGTCTGCTTTTGGTGAACTGCCAAGCAATTCACGCTAATTCGCCTGACCAGCTGTAAGAACCCGATTGCCCTCTTGCAGCCCTCATTATGCACCCTTCCTGCTGATCTAAATACAGAAAGGTCAGGAGGGTGAGCTCCAGTAAATTATTAGAGATACACCCTTAACTGCTGTTCTGTGTCAGCTTATTCTCTAGCATCTCTGTGCTGTCTCCACAGTTTGGTTTCCTACAGAAACCTTGCTCCAGAAGACAAAAGCATCAAGAAATCCTAGGAGGAATTAAATAGGTGAGGGAGATTGATCCCCTCATGGCCAATCCCTCATAAACCTTCTTTACACCATGGACCTTTAAAAAGAAAATATTACTTATTGTCATCAGTACTGGCTCATTCACAACACGCTTTTCACCTGTCCAGAGCCTTGACATTTGTGCTTGCTTGAGAGAGGTGCTGAAACAGTTGTGCCTGCAAAAGCCTGGTCTATTCAGGGCTTCCAATGGTGCTTGCACCCTCACAGCTCTACATGCATTTCCACCGAGCCTGTAACAGCATTAAATGTGTCCTGCTGCAGCAAAGCAGCAGTGGGTTCTTCCAGGGACTCAAGCTGAGTGACTGTTGACCAACAGATCCATTTTTAACTGCCAAGTATCTACCCTGAGGCTACTAAAAGGTAAAAAAATTCCTGGCTGCTATATTTCCAACCTGCCCATCAGCTGCTGCATCCTCCCTGAGCACACAGCCACATCGTCCCCTGAGGCTGGAGTCCAGGAGTCAGCATGCTGGTATCTTGCAAATTGTTCCCCACCTGACTTCCCTGCTTCTGAGCTTTCCAGAGCTTCTAGACAGTCTGTGTTTTTCTTGTCTTTAATGAGGAACACAGCTGTGGCTGTTTGCTTTGCTTTGGGTTGCCTTTCTTTTTTTTTTTCCCCCATTTCTATGGTAAATGGAGTTGAGAAAGGAGCAAGAAAACTGTGAAGAATGATCCAAGCCAAGAAGATGTAGGGGGAAAGTGAATTAGAAATGCACAGTTTCTCAATTCAATTAAAATGTTAGTTAAAAATCTATATAGAATGAAGATCCTGCTGCTCCCTCAAATCCTCC